AAAAAGAACAGTCATGACCTATTGATCCTAAGGAATCATGTTTCCACTGACCCTTACAGGCGGCGCTTGACAAGAACCTAGCGACCTACTTGGCGGACGACAGTTTGACTGATACTCTGTTGGGTCAATTCTTGGCCCTGGGACCGGGTAAACCGCAATTTCAAGTAACGGTTCCGAGCGCAATGAGCACGTTAGTGGAGCACAGGTCCAATGAGTCCCTCACGGACCTGCTGTGGCAGTGCTACAATGCGGGAGCTAAAGCGGATCTCCTTTTTGCGCTAGCCATGAGCGAGTTGGGAATGCGGTTCCCTGGACTGGTTTCACTCGACCAGATCTACGATGTGGTGTATTCGGACTCTACGATCCGCGAGCAGATTTACGGCGGATCATACAAGCAGGTGACTACGTACTACCAGAAGATTTGTGAAGTGCGGGAACTGCGTAAAGTTCAAGGGTCGAAGAACCCTATGGCAGCACTAACCAAGGCGGACAAGAAGGCCCTGCACCGGTTGCAGGGATTGAAAGGCGAGAATCGCACCGCGATTCTACAATCGTTGCTCGACGAAGACGAGCTGAGTCTGGTACTACCAGTGCAGCGTCAACACCAGATGAAAGCCGAGGTTTCGAATAAATCAACACCGGGTGCTTCCAGCTCCGGAACGCAAATGAATTCGGCAACCACGACCTCCACTACGGTGCCTATGGCAACGGAAGTCCAGACGACGCGTTTGGTTTTGCCAGGTGTAGTCTCCGCTACGTCGAAAGCCACCCCGACCTTCGGTCCGCACACCGCAAGCTTCGCAGGAGGTTTTGCACGCTTTGTTTTAGATCATCCAAGTACTAATCCTGATAACAATTTTGGACCTACATCTTCTGCAGTAAAACGTTGTTCATCACCTGAACCAGTTGAACGGACTTCGTCTGCATCTGTGGATACTCTTTGCAATAGTCGATTACCATTTTTCTCACCAATTTCGCAATCGGTTTCCAGCCGAGAAACCATCTTCACATCGCCGAAGTCACGCAAATCCATCCAACTTTCAGTTGCTGAAGAGGACGAGAAGCAGGCGGCTGAAGAATACAAGGATACTGTTGCGGCTGCGTCATCCGACGATCAGTCGGTGGTGTTGGTGGACCATGTGGATCTGGACGTTCGACCTCAGGAGGAAGAAGGGGACATTGTGTTGTCTGGACGCGAATCACCAATGAGTCGCTCAGCACCGCAAGTTCAAAACGTTTTCACCGAGGATGTGCGACGCTTATCCGATTCTGCGCTTACAGCACAGATTCGTCTCATGGAGCTCAGCCAAGAGTTGGCACGACGTAAACTACAAGCCACGAGTTCAAGTTCAACGGTGCGTGCAACTGCTCCCGCAGCTAGCTCCTCTCCAAGCGTTCCGGCAGCCGCTACCAGTTCTACGAATTTGAGTGGAAGCTAAAGGGTGTGCACCTTCGTGGTGATGTCAGACAGGACGAGAAGACTTATTGTTTTAGGCACTGCATTCGGCAGGCTCATAACAACGTTTGAGAAGGGCATAGATGGCAGTTTATTGCTGAGTCTTTGCAACCCTGTCTGAGAACGAACTTCCCCATCCCATGCCTAATCCTTGTTACGTTTGCAGTTTTTTCTAGACCGTGAAATGAAGCAAGGAGGAGAAGGGAAGAAACACATAGGGCCAATCAAGGTTCTGCGCCGATGGTGCGAAATTGAAGTTGAAGTTGAAAGAATGTAGTGTTCAACCAAGGATGAACTATCATCGATGGATTCATGTTAATCGGTATGCTGTTGCTTCGCCAGCATGGTGTTTTATGGACAGCACAGTAGCGAGGCGGGTGCTGACACTTCATCGCGATGGAGGGGCGATGTTGAACACCGAACAAGAAAGTAGAGCAAGCCGCTGGTTGTTCCCTTGTCGTAGGGCTTCCGGAAATGTTTGCCATGGTTGTAAAGCTTGGCGCTGCCTCTTGTAGGTTGCTGAGTTTATGCATCTAGGGTGTTATACTGGATTTCTGGATGATGCCTTGTTGTAGGTCTTCCAGGCGGTTCTGTTCGGTTCTAGCTGGTGCGAGTACAACGAGAGTAGGTTTAGGATTTTTTCTTTTGTCTTTGTGGACACAACGAAGAGCGAAAGAGAGGAGGTTAGAACGGTAGATGGTTTTTTCCGTCATTTAGGGCAATAGGCCGAGGCCAGCGAATGGAAAGCTGCGATCCTCGTTGATCATGATCATTTCTTTTTACGGTAGGACTAGTTGTGATTTCTCCATCTAGGGCCCTAGGCCAATGCGGTACTTCAGTTTTTTCGACTGGACGAAAGAAAATATTACATGTTACATCTGCTTATTCTTTGCGGTTTCTGTTTCAACCCAAAACACACCACCCTAGGAGAGAGAGGTTAGAAAGCGATAGCGGGTGGTTCCCACAACTACAGGATGACTACTCTGACTGCTCCTCCTCGTACAACCGCTGTATGCGGTTACGGTTTATCGACCTTCATGGTCGCCTCTGCCTTCCTATCGGGGTTGGTAAGCGTAAGCAACATGTCGCGGACACCCGTGCCGGTTTCATCGCCACCACCACCACCGCCACCTCCTGGAGCTCACCATCACCCTGGAGATAAGTACGACGACTGGGATTCGGATTACGGCTGGTTTGCGTTAGCCCGGTCCGGTTTCCTCGATGCGGTTTCCGTGGCACTGAGTTACCTCAGTTTGCTACTCGCTCTTGCAGTGATGGCCTATGAGATGTACAGTCACTACCAAGGTGTCACCGAGAAGGACCCTTCGGCTCCAGTTCCGGTTTCGGTTTCGGGTCAGGATTCCAAAAGA